TATATATAATTGTACATAATATAGGTTATAAATAAACCAAAATTTTGACATTCAGTATTAAGTTAACTCAATATTTACAACAGATGGAATATTTTCAGCCCCAAATTCATATGTTAAAGCCCTAACCACCCTCCCTGTGATAGTATTTGGAGAAAAAGCCTTTGGGAAATAATTAGGTTTACATCGGATCCTGAGGGTGGGCCTTCATGGTGGATTAGTCCCATTATAAGAAGAGACACTGGAGAGCTTTCTGTCCCTTTTCAAGCCCCCTCTCCCCACAGCCATGTGAGGACACAGTGAGAAGGTGGCTGTCTACAAGCCAAGAAGGGAGCTTTCATCAGAAACCCACCATGCTGGCACCTTGATCTTGGATTTTTAACCTCCAGAACTTTGAGAAAATAAATTTCAGTTGTTCAAGCCACCTGTTCTGTTATGGCAGTCTGAGTTAAAACAACATTCAGTTCAATAAAAATTTTACAGTACTTTTTGACTTTATAAACTATTTATTTGCTTACTTAAAATTTCCAGACTGAATCTATAAAAAAATAAGTTAAAATTCTCAATTCTGGCTGAATAGCATTGGCCAATAGTATAAGAACAAAATTACATGAATATACTTTTTTTTCTTCTAAAATGGCAAATCACATATCCTCTTTTCAATCCTTAACCATCTAAAAGCATCTGCAGTTTTTGATACTATCTTCATCTCTCCATGAACTTAATACTTTTCTGAGTCTCCTCTATAATATTCTTATATATTTATTTGAACTTAATACTTTTCTGAGTCTCCTCTATAATATCTACACTAATAAAAGACAAAGATGTGAATTGACGATACCTTCGCTATGCCCACCAGCCAATCAGAAGAGTATGCAAATTAACCCAACAAAGATGGCTGTTAAATTTGCATACTGCAGGCAGGGTGGGACAGTGTCATCGGCTTCCCACCTGGCCTCTATCCAGCCCTCCCGTGTGCGACCTGGGCTGGCCGGGCGGGACAGCAGCGATCCGCCACCCGTCCGGCCCTCCCATGTGCAACTCCGGGCAGCTGGGCAGGACAGCAGCGGAGATGGGAGGAAGCCAGGCGGGCTTTGTTCCCTTCTCCACTGCTTCCCTCCGGCATCCGGAAGCCCTATTCTTGCAGGAATCTTCCTGCAGTGGGCCTCCAGTTCTTATACATTTATTTATAGATGCTCTGGTGTATATATAAAGAAGTCTAAGGCTGATGATCTTTTTGGTCTCCTGTAGTTGATACTGGTCTCTCAGCCCTCTTCTTTTAAGCTTCTTTCTCCTTTTACCAGTTAAATAATGAAATAATAATTGTACTGAAGAGGAGCTCAAGAAACCAAGTGTCTTGGAGTTACAGTGTCTCATTCTGTACAGGGTAAGTAAGCCTACATAATTGTGTGTGTGTGTGTGTGTGTGTGTGTGTGTATGTGTGTGTGTTTGTGAGAGAGAGAGAGAGAGAGAGAGAGAGAGAGAGAGAGAATAAGAGAGAGAGAGAGAATAAGAGAGATGCATACAACTTTAGTACCCTATCCACAAAGGATTACATGAGGGATTAGTGTAGGAATCAAAGGCTACATACAATGTATGAATTGGGTATCAACCAACTTCTTTAGAGAGGGGAATGACATAAAAATCTTCCCAATAGAGGTGCCCCATATTGGAGGTTAAATATTGACCTAATCATATTATCTGGTTTAGGAAAGAG